ATTGCCCAACACCTACGCACACATACCACTAACTCAGGGTCGCCTAAACTTCTACACCCCACCCCTCCAACCTACTTTAACACCTCTCCCCTTTCCCCACCAACACCCACCCTTAAACGACCCTATATATAGGGGCTTCACACACATTTTCCAACATATTTGGTGTACTGAATAATACAGGAAACTTGTCTGGGTCTACACAGGCGCGTGCCACGGATATACCAAAAAAAAATGGTAAGGTAATTATGAGGAGAGGGCGCTAAGGCAGTACAACTATATAGCATTTGGAAGGGTATACGAGGACAAGTAGCTAAGAAGGACGGAGGGAAGAAATGATATTGGACCATCAGGGAGCGAACGCCGACCTGCGAAAAGCTGCACCGACCAGTCTAAAAGTAGTTGGACATACCCAAAGAGAGCAGACACAGCAGGTGTACAGGGAAGGGAGGTGACAATTAGCACTATCTTGCACTATCTCTCTATCACGGAGGCCGCCTCGCCGGCGAGGATGGTCGCTTCTGGCGCCTGATTGACGGCCTACGACACTGCTGTCATACCTGTGTACCTTGGTGGAGAGCGGAAACAAGTACTAAAAATAGGAATAGGCCTAAAAGTTAAAATATTTTGACGTACAGCCTAATAACGAAAATATTTTGTAGTAACTGCAATGGTACAGTTGTAGTTAAAGTAGTTGAGGGCGTTCGAGAGAGAGAGAGAGAGAAAAAAAAAAGTTGGGGATTATGATGATGTAAACGCCATCTGTTGATTGCACCTGATCCCATTTTCTGTGTTCGCTACTGGAATGTTGCCGTCTCACTGAAACAGGTGTAGTTTCCATCGTACTAAATGGTTTCCTTTCCACAAAAGTGATACGACAGCTACGTTGATATGAAGTGATAGTGATACGAAGTGATGCATCCTCCTGATATGAAGTGAGACGTGACATGACAGCGGCGAAAAGCAGTACACCAGGAAGGCGGGAAATTCTGTAGTTTGTTGGAGACTCTCAAAGGGGGGTCTCCAACTTTACAGAGATGCTAGCCATGCAAAAGGTTTTAGAACATGCTCTTCCTGAACACCGACAACATGTTGTCATACATGCAGATTCTTTAAGTACCATTGAAACCTTGCAACAAGAACACATTCGTGACAACATCCATCTGATCACAAATGTCATAGCATTACTGCCACTCAAACGTCAAGGCCGTCGGGTACTTATCAACTGGGTGCCGAGTCATGTGCGAATAATAGGGAATTACATTGAAGATGAAGCTGCAAAACTTGCAGCTTCAACTTTTGCTGCAAGTTTTTGCACAACAGCAAGAGAACTTAGCTGTAGAACTTAGCACAACAGCTAAGAGAAGAAATATAGACATTTACATGCCATAGAGTCTGTCACAGATTAAGAAAGTAATTAGAAATAGAGCAATGCAGAAGATGTACAGTGACCACAACACAGCAGTTGCAACATCAGGATCTGCGAGTTGGTACAAGAATTCAACCAACTACGAACCACTTATTTTGATGAAAGAGAGCAGTAGAACAACAAAAGTGCACTTACATCACATTAGGCTTGGATACCCATGTGCATGGGAAACAGGCTTACAGGTTCCAGAAGATAAGAGGAAATGTCAGCACTGGAGAAATGCCCGACAGACCACTGGAACATTATCTAACACAATGCACAGTTACAAACCCAATAAGATTTCAACTAAAATTCAACAGAGCAGAAGTTGTTAAACACATTGGGCATAATGTTACTGAATCGACCGTACGAGTCATAAATACTCATACACCACTTAAGTAAAACGGAAACAAGAAACAAGTAACACTTAGTGGGCCAGCCAGAGGCTTCGGGCCCGCGCAGGAATATCCCTGCACACAAAAAAAAAAAGTCCACCAGGAGTGACCAGAAAGGGCAGTTCTCAGGCATTAAGGGCTTGTTTCGGTCGGAACAAGAAGAGCCAGGTCGTCGTAGTGAACTGTCTGTTGGTAGCCAGGGACCTACTGGTGTTGTAACCACGTATCTCAGGGTGGCCAAGTTGTGTTGGCCACAAGGCAGACGGAGTGAACGTCCATCTGTCCTTTAGATTAAGGCTTATTTGTGTTGAACCTTGCGAGGAAGCTAGCCAGTGGTGCTAGAGTTAGTGTTTAAACACTGTGATAATACTGCGGAGGACTGACCTCAGCATTGTTGGAAAAGTGGACTGGCTGACTTGAGTACTTGAGAAGAAGTGAACACAGGGGAAGGAGCCTTAAGTGTTGTTACAAGGACTCGCCGTGGTAGAAGACGGCAGAGGTTTCTGTAGCGTCCTGTGTGAACGTGACACTTACGGTGTTATCTGTGGTGTATAAATATTGCTGTATGTTTCCGGTAATTATCTGTACATAATATTTAAGTATATTTGGCGTGATTTTTTCGTTTAGTGTTGTTTAACCCCTTCCAGATTTGGTTGTCTATTATTGCTCGGTTCTTAATAACTTAACCTTGACTTGGGGTTAATAACTTAACCTTGACGTTAAGTTATTAAGAACTTGGGTTCTTAATAACTTAACCTTAATAACGTGACCTTGACTAAACTAGATCTGGTAAGATAGGGACATTAAGGCCCACTAGAAAGAGACAAAAAGAACCCAAGTTACTGAGGCCGCAACTGGGGTCGCTCGCGACAACGGGCTGCTGTAATTACCGACACATTCGTCCTCGACTCACAATCGGGAATTTCGGGTTCGAATCCCGGACAGAACAGAAAAGGTTGGGTACGTTTCCTATCACCTAATGCACCTGTTCACCTAGCAGTAAACAGATACCTAGGAGTTAGTCAGCTTATTGTGGGGTTGCAACCTTGTGAGCAAGTATAAGAAATATTGCCGGAACAACCGTGGACATTTTCAAGAGAAAATTTGATAGTTTTTTTCAAGTTTTCTTTCCGGACCAACCGGGCTGTGGTGGGTATGTGGGCCTGCGGGCCGCTCCAAGCAACAGCCTGGTGGACCAAGCTCTCACAAGTCAGGGAGTACAAGTACTCCCAGAAGTACAAGGGGAGCAGGAGTAGAATAACTCCCCAGAACCCCATCAAGCAGCGGGGTCTGTAATTCAATCTTGGAGGAGGGGGGGGGCGATATAAGCCTTCTTGAGGTTATCTTGAGATGATTTCGGGGCTTAACGTCCCCGCGGCCCGGTCCTCGACCAGACCTCCTTTTTGTTACCCCCCAGGAAGCAGCCCGTAATAGCCGTCAAACTCCCAGGTACCTATTTACTACTAGGTAACAGGGGCATCAGGGTGAAAGAAATTCTGCCCATTTGTTTCCGCCTCCGCCGTTGATCGAACCCGGAACCTCAGGACTACGAATCCGAAGTGCAGTCCACTCAGCTATCAGGCCCCGCTGTACAGATTAACTGTATTTTATGTATAAATTGGCTGCCTGTCCCCCGACATAATGAATTATTATTACATAATGTAATATTTAACATTTTAAACTGGGTTCAATAAAATAAAAATATTAGTAAAACAAAACCTACGCAGTTATTATAGATGGCGAATATCTAATATACATTAGATAGGATACCTTACTTAAATCAATTTCGTTTTTTTTTAAATAAAATTCAATATTCAAAAAGAAAATCCATATCCTGGACTTTACCAAAACTGATATCATGATATTAGTTTGAGATAGCAGGTATCACTGAGAGCTTATCTTAAGGATAATACAGTTTATGTCAGCTATACCGAACCTACAGTAAGTAGCCTACAGCTTGTAACAGTCATACACAGTTCCCTCGACACGCTAAATACTTTCAGTGGGTTTCAGTGTTCAAATAATGAACCTACGGGTACGTTAGCAACATACCTGGAGACAGTTGCAATACCACATTGAATACTTGCAAATGTTAATTGCATGTATATGTATTTTTATTGTACTTGGACCGAAACATCAATATTCCGTACGTGAGGATATGGGTACACTAATAGTAATGTTGATTTTCATACTTTACAATATTAAGAAGTTTACAATGTTGAGAGTATATTGGACATATTCTAATGAAAGTATGATCCCTGAGGGTACCCCCTTTCATGCATTGTTTATTGAAGGGGTATTTTGACAGCAGGTTGGATTGGTGTGGAGGCTGGGAGGACGGGCTGGAGTATAAGCCCTGCGAGGTTCCATGTTTCAACATTGATGCATAGACTTATTTTATAATTAATGTATGTAATTATTGTTTGAGGCAAGTTGTGCTAGGGTTTTTTAGGTTGTGTGTGAGGATATTTCCTTGCGTTATTGCAAATATATTGTGTTTAAATCAAAGAAAAAAAATCCGTAGCTTATTGCTTGTGAAAATAATTCTAGGGTCTTTGCGATATTTCTCAGCATTTATTTTAACAAGACAAATGGTAATATCAAGATCCAACTCCCAGCATGGGTTCTTAACCCATCGTGAATACCTCCTCGGAGGAAATCCTATCGTAGCCTATTGGTTCTGGGAGAACCAATAGGCTACTGCTAACAACGGAGACAATTCAACTCCCCCCCCCTGAATCACACACTAACACATACCATACACATAGAAATTGTGTTGTATATGCTAACCAATTCCAGTACCTGAACCTGGAGTCATCAAGCAGTTACGCAAGTATTTATGAACCTGAATCGCTTTTCTTAAATCTCTGGCGGTTTTGTTTACGTATATTTAACAGTTTACGAGCTCCGAAGCACTAGGGGAGCTGTTTACAACAATAACATCACTTGACTGCGAAGTTTAGATGCTCATAAACTAATACATGTAAACAACGTTGCTAAAGATTGAGAAAAGATGTATAGGTTCGTAAATGCTTGCTGAATCCTGGTGCAGAGTCTCTGACCTAACTCCCAACATACCTTACCTTCCAGGACTTGACAACATTCTTTAGTGAGTAAACCTCAGCTGTAGTGGCAAGTAAATTTACAAATTATATAACAAATTAAAAAAACAAAGTGTGATCAATATGAATACAACTTACCTGATATACGAAGTTCAGGAGCGATGTTAGCGAGGCGGGATACAAGTCCAGATCAGTTTCATCTGTTTGAAAAGTACATAAAATATGTATCACTTTTCTACATATTCTTTAATGCACTTAACATCGTTATATACGTGTTCATGGCACATACAGTTTTTACACTGAAATACAATTTAAAGATTAAGTCAGATGGCTAAAACAAATTATTCGTGTCCATCTCTTGAGGTTATCTTGAGATGATTTCGGGGCTTAGCGTCCCCGCGGCCCGGTCCTCGACCAGGCCTCCTTTTTGTTTCCTTGCACTGACTGACTTGCAATAAAAAAATCGATGTCACATCCTACTCTATTTCCACAATATAATTAATAATAATTCATTGTGTGGGGAGCCAAAAACCTAGTTTATACATACAGTACATGTTAGGCCTAAATCGAGGTCTTCCCAAAGTCAAATTACTGACAGTAATTACTTCAGTAATTACTGAATTACTAATGTGATGCAACCCCCACAACAAGCTGACTAACGCCTATTTATCGCTAGGTGAACAGAGGCATTAGGTAACAGGAATCGCGCCCAACCATTTCTGTCCCGCCCGGGATTTGAAAACCCGCAATTCTCGATTGTGAGTCGAGAACGAACCAATTAAATTTCATTCGCATCAATGTGTACGAATCGCATTCGTATATGCTACCAAAACATAATATCTTCCCTCTTTGTTTAAGAGTAAATTATAGTCTTACTTCTTAGTAATAGAGTACAAGGGCGGGAAGACACACGAGGTCACAGACACCAACATACAAACGGAGTGGTGGTGGTCTGTAGTAGTACCCAGGCCCGTAATGTGAGCCATTGGGGCGTTGTGGTCTGAACTGGTCGAGGTGCACAGTGATGGCGGGTCTCCCAGGCACCCCGGTATGGTCTCCTCACACTATTCGCTTTAAAGGGGTCTGGAAGTTGTCGTGGTTGTGGCCAAAGTGCCATTATGACTTGAGCCACAATTAGTACAGTTGGGGGTTGTTATCTAAAATGGTACAGCCTAGTATTATTAGCTGAAATCAAATTAGATAGCCGTGGGAACAACCAGGGGCCAGATTCACGAAGCAGTTACGCAAGTACTTAAGAACGTGTATATCTTTCCTCAATCTTTGACGGCTTTGGTTACATTTATTAAACGGTTTACAAGCATGAAAACTTTCCAATTAACTGTTATTGTTATAAACAGCCTCCTGGTGCTTCGGAGGTCATTAACTGCTAATAATTGTAAATAAAGCCGCCAAATATTGAGAAAAAATGGACAGGTTCGTAAGTGCTTGCGTAACTGCTTCGTGAATCTGGTCCCTGGACCCTTATTTATCCTTGGAGAAGCCACTTGTCAATCCGTTCCAATACCATCAGATATGTGTACAACAGATATACAATATATAGGTCTAGTGTGGTTGGTCTGCATACAATAAAACTTTTGCATCACGTTATTGTCGCTGAGAAAGCAACCTGTTCTACAAAAAAAAAAAACGTCGCATTTCAATCATATGCGTTACATAAGGGCAAAAATTGTCGTAGTAGAAAATGGAAGTGGCTCGCGAAAGTGACCTGCTGTCCCGTTTTCTGTTTTGGGTCCTCTGGTTTGTTAGGAGAGGACACTTATTAAATTGACCGTTTTCTTGACGTTGGGAAAACTTAGGACGATGGGCTGGAGAAAGACTTGAACAACATAAACAAATGGCTGTCAGGCACAAAAATGTATTCAAAGTTAATTTAATCCAAATTAGTCTTGCTAATGTGCACGTTATAAATCAAATTTACGTGCACCACTAAGCATTACTAATTTAAATGAACTACTACTTTCCATTATTTTACATTATACAGCTTACTAATTACAGTATTAATTTGCCTTAAATGTGTGTTTCAAGAGTAATAATCTAATTACACTAGCCTAATATAGCTAACACGGCTAGGCTATGTTCACTATCTACAATAGGCAAACTTAGGATATATGTCCGCCTAACAGCTGGGTGGACAGCGCTTCGGATTCGTAGTCCTGAGGTTCCGGGTTCGATCCCCGATGGAGGCAGAGACAAATGGATAAAGTTTCTTTCGTTGATGTACATATAGTGTAGTAATACTTCCTTTTAAGAGTTATATATATATATATATATATATATATATATATATATATATATATATATGGTGATGGGAAAAATAATTACATATGGATAAAGTGACGACCTGTTACATTTAATGTACCTCCCCCTTTTGTTTTACTTGCATTACTGAGCTCACCCCTTGAAAGCCTCTACTAACTTGGGGCCGGATACCAGAACTTTCGTACCACCAGAAAAGATTGCGTCCCATTGGTTGCGTCCCACTGTGGCCGTAACAAATATATCAACGTAAAACACGGACATTTCTTGAGCCTTAGTGATAAGGGTTCTCTAAACTGATTTTTTCACACTCGATTACGTGTAGCGTGGCTCCGGCTCTGTCATTTTTGTAGACTTGATAATTTTAATCTGGCCTCTTAAGGATGAGATATTAGGCCTAGACCTCCGTTATACAATGAGTTCTTACTCTGTAATGTGGTATCTAGTGAGTGGTCTGGCGTATTTAACAAGTACAGTGGATTTTTGTTGTCTGTAAAACAGTACTTGCATTACTTTTGCATGTGCACAGGAAGAAATATGTTTATCAACCAGAATGTTCGGTACTATGTTGATTGGGATGTGTAGGCGTTCTCACCTAGTTGAGCTTGTTGAGCTCTGGCTCTTTGGTTCCGCCTCTCAACTATCAATCAACTGGTGTACAGATTCCTGAGCCTACTGGGCTCTATCATATCTACATTTGAAATTGTGTATGGAGTCAGCCTCCACCACATCACTGCCTAATACGTTCTTATGTTGGCTAACCTTGCATATGCGTTGCTGAACATATGCTCTTGATCTACAGGAAACAGGTCTGGCGTGATATCAACCTGTGATTTTACAATATATATATATATATATATATATATATATATATATATATATATATATATATATATATATATATAATCTCCCTTTGTGTGTATTTATACCTCAATAAACTTGTTTCAATTTCCACTACTTTCATTCAATATAGTATAGATATTGGTCCAATGTGTGTATATGAAAGTGTGGGAGAGAATAAGTTAAAAACAAAACTATATAGGCCTATTTAGACAATCTAAAAACAAAAAGAAAGTATACCCATGAAACACGCTTATTCACTTGGGCTAAGCCAAACCTCCACTACACCAGACTAATGCACCGAGTACCCTTAAAATAACACGAGGGTCTAGTCCCAGATGTGTTCTCTGTTACACATCCATTAGCACGAACTTCCAAAAAGCAAAACCGTGTGTTAAATTCTAATTGCCCCAAAGAGTAGGACTATGAGGCTAAGTTTATGACACTTTAATTTATTCTCAAATTTGTAATTCATTTTAACTATTCTATTAAATAATTATACTGTAGGGAAATATTATACTTTTAGTAATTTAAATGGATGTAAAGCAGCGGTAACATAGTATATGCTGGTAATTAGTATAAAGCTCCTACTTATGCTAAATATCCCGAGAGTATTTACATGCACGCTTAGGCTATCGGCTAACACATCTCAAGCTCATGCCTCTGTTGTCTAATTAACTCACATGGCCAGTGACACATGTGGCCCATGACCAGGCTTCCTTGGTAACAGCCCAATCAGCGAGGCTGTTTGTGGTCACAGCCCGTCTACCTACATTGCGTTTTACAGACCGACCGGTCACTTCCCAACGGAGTTTGTCTAATTCCTTCTAGAAGATCTCAAACTGTTCAGGCAATATTTCCTACGTTTAGCGGTAGGAGGCTGAAGAGTCGTGGACCTATTTATAGTTTCAAATGCGCTTACTGACATCAATCACTTGATTTATTCTACATTTGATAACAGCTTACTGGGGTGAGAAATGCATTATGTAAATTAAAACCCTAAAGATATTTCCAAAATGTAAATTAGGAAATTTCTACTCTCCTGAGAACATTCTGTGTGGTCCGAGACTCCCAGAGGATTAGAAATTTTACAGAATTTCTGCATAATTTCAATTAGATATGTTGCCTACCTTAAAAGAAGTTTCGAGTACAAAGTTGCAATCCAGACGAGTGAGAATCTGTACTTTGAATAGACAAATATTATTGGCATATTATCCCTTTTTTATGGTCCCCACAATAATTTTTCTTCCTTATGTTTATCTATCAGTTTCTACAGAAGGTGAATATGTCTGACACTATATTGGAATCTGACCCAAGTATCAGTTGGATCAACCCACGATCCAAAATGTATTCGAAAAATGTGCAACCATGTTGGAACAGACGAACGCCCTAAGAAAATTTGTGAAAACATCTTGATAACATATTATGAGAGTGAAGGGGAGGGGGGCAGCCTGGTCCGCTAAGTAAACCAACTCGCCAATATAACCATGGAAAACAAAGTACAGTATTTGGATTCCCTACGTTATGTCTCTCATGACCAACTCATCATTACTACCCAAGATATATATGAACACGTTGTACTGAACGGGGTGAGAATAGCTTGAGGTACCTCATCCCTTTGTGTGCATTTATACCTCAATAAACTTATTTCACTGTCTAACCTCTCACCTTGTAGATAATTTCTGGGCTTGTTAAAAATGTTTATACCAACATTCCGGCAAGGAGCCTCATTTACGCGCGAGTGCTTTCAACTGCCTTAAGAGGCTATGCATGATTTCATGATACGTTATGAATACGTATTATATACATTAATGAACAAACACAGTTCTAGAGATTAGTGATTTAAGAGCTTTGCTTGTAAGTGGTATTGCTAAAACATTTATCAGCACAGCACAAAATTCAAAGTATCTTTTTTTTATTTGGCTTAATAACAGCATATCTTTTTTGTTTGTACGTAGGTTTGAGGATAGGCTTGTGGTCTGCATGCTTGGTTTGTTTTGGTCGGACGCCATCTCAGATTTAAGGGCTGCGCTCTTTGCCACGGCCTATCTATCCTCAGGACAAGCTTGTCCAACATGAAGCAAACCTAAAAGACGCATTTATCAATTGTATTGTACTAAGTAATAAACTACATTTTCTCAAATGTTATAATTATGTACACAATTTTGGTTCTGTTGGCATTATTTGCTTTTGCAGTATTTTAGTAATGTATTAGGATAGGTGCAATTGGAATATGTTTCTCGAGAAGGTTCGAGAAATTTGTGTATGTACTTTTATCTCAATAAACATTATTATTATAATTATAATTATTAACTTTCAGACGTAAGCAAATGAAAATCGTGCGTAAACAGTTTTTCATTCATAAGCTGAGGGTTTGACGGCAGAATTAACGATCATCTGGCCTCTGTTGGCGAGGATGGACTGTTTTATCTTACAGTATGGAAACAAAGTTGACGAATGAGCTTTTGAGGCGGTCGCAGCCTTCGTGCATGTGTAAAGTTCTTCATTGGATTATACTCGACAGACTAATGTTTCAAATCAAGCCCCACCTTGCCCCTAACCTGTATGGTTTCCTTCCTGGAAGAAGCACGCAAAGTTGCTTTGCAGAATATTTTATCAGTGGGACCAAGCTCTCAGGCGGCATTTATTGATCTCCAAACTGCTTTTGATACAGCAGAGAAATAATCTTAGAACAACTAGCCTCTTTAGGAGTTAAGGGAAGACTGTTGACATGGCTCAGGGGTTACCTGGGTAACAGAACCGCCTCAGTCCTTTTTCAAGGGGGTCAAAAGTAAACTCTGTGCACCCTTTGAGTTGGATACACCCCAGGGTGGAGTGCTATGTTCAATGTTCAATGTTCTGATGCACAAATTAACAATTGATATTCCCGCACTACCTGACGAAGCCGTCATCTGTTATGCCGATGACATATGCATTGTTGCAAACACCCAAACTAGACTGCAAGCTCTATTTGATTCACTCGCTAAAAGCATTGAATGTGGTCTTGTTATCTCTATAACTAAATCCAGAGTTCTCCATCCCCAAGAGAAAACTCATATAACTTTCAAGGTCAACAGCCAGAACACTGAAACGTGTAGGCAGCACAAATATCTTGGAGTTGGTATTAACAGTGACATTGTAAACGATCTACACAATAGGTTAAAAGAAAGACTAAAACCATTGAAAAGACTTACTGGCAAGAATATTGGTATGAATATTAAATATGCTAGACTATTCTATATGATGTTTGTTAGATCTCTCGTTGATCATAATGCTCTGCACTTAATTAATTTCCCCTCCTCTGTGTTGGACAAACTTGAAGTAGTACAGAATGAGGCCATGAGGATAATTCTTGGTGCTCCAAGATGCACAAGAATCATCAACATGAGGGAAGAACTGAAGCTTCCAACCATACTAGAGAGAATCATGCAAGTCATCACGGCCTTTTGCCTTAAAGTCATGAGAGACCTTATATCTCCTGCATTGCTCAGAGACAAATCATTTAATGCTGTTAACACCCTATTGACTCGTGCCAACATACCAACTCCTTTTATGATAAATGGCTGAGCAAAAATGCCTACAATCTCATTAAACTCAACATTCCTTTTAAGTGCAATCTACCTGTCTCTGATATTCCTCTTTATCTGTACCCCACCATTCAAGTATCATATACACCTGTCACCAAGAAAGATAATGAGACTCTTGCTCTTCTCAAAGCTGTCACACTCGAAACAATTGCCTCCTCCATTGAGAATTCAATATCTCACGAGCACTGAGTCTACACCGACGGCTCAGTCCAATCTTCTACTGGACGGACTGCAGCAGCATGTAAGTTTTATAGAAATAATATTTGCACAAAGACTGTCAGTGTTAGGTTAAACAACTGGCTGACCTCCACAAAAGCAGAACTAACGGCATTACAACTAGCTACCAGTACATTAAAAACATTGTAGGATGAATAATAATTTGTGATTCAAAGTCTGCTCTTCAAGCAATCGAAAACTTCTGGAAGATCGACAGCAAGAACCTCGTACTCCTAATTATAAATGACCTAATCGCTGCACAGAGTAAAGGGTCTCGAATCTCGTTTGTTTGGATACCATCACACATAAATATAACCCATCATAATGAGACAGACATTGCAGCCAAATTAGCGTGTAACAAATATGAAGTTGAATTAGATCTTGGTATCCTCATCTCTACTGTCAAAACTAAATATTATAGTTTTGACAGTATATATATATATATATATATATATATATATATATATATATATATATATATATATATGTCGTACCTAATAGCCAGAACGCACTTCTCAGCCTACTATTCAAGGCCCGATTTGCCTAATAAGCCAAGTTTTCATGAATTAATGTTTTTTCGTCTACCTAACCTACCTAACCTAACCTAACCTAGCTTTTTTTGGCTACCTAACCTAACCTTACCTATAAATATAGGTTAGGTTAGGTTAGGTAGGGTTGGTTAGGTTCGGTCATATATCTACGTTAATTTTAACTCCAATAAAAAAAAATTGACCTCATACATAGAGAAAAGGGTTGCTTTATCATTTCATAAGAAAAAAATTATAGTAAATATATTAATTCAGGAAAACTTGGCTTATTAGGCAAATCGGGCCTTGAATAGTAGGCTGAGAAGTGAGTTCTGGCTACTAGGTACGACATATATATATATATATATATATATATATATATATATATATATCGTACTAGTAGCCAGAACGCACTTATCAGCGTACAATGCAAGGCCCGATTTGCCTAATAAGCCAAGTTTTCATGAATTGATGTTTTCTCTAGTTTTTTTCTTACGAAGTGATAAAGCTACCCATTTCATTATGTATGAGGTCAATTTTTTTAATGGAGTTAAAATTAACGTAGATATATGACCGAACCTAACCAACCCTACCTAACCTAACCTAACCTATCTTCATAGGTTAGGTTCGGTTAGGTAGCAGAAAAAGTTAGGTTAGGTAGGTTAGGTAGTCGAAAAAACATTAATTCATGAAAACTTGGCTTATTAGGCAAATCGGGCCTTGAATAGTAGGCTGATAAGTACGTTCTGGCTATTAGGTACGACATATATATATATATATATATATATATATATATATATATATATATATATATATATATATATATATATATATATATATATATATATATATATATATATATATATATATATATATATATATATATTACATTATATATATATATAATGTATATGAGGTACCACCTCTGGTTCGAATTTGGTTTGGTTTCTTTTGAAATGATTATTTACATTAGGTTTGATTATGGTTAGTTTTGGTTATCATATTAGTGAAATTTCATCTTAATCTTCATGAACTAACCGCAACCTGATGTAAATAGATAATTAATGGGAAAACAGTCTCAATCAAACCAGGGTAAAACAAAGAACATAAATATTAGTTTATCACAATTTGAACACGACGCAAATGCTGAATAACAATGACCGCCAGATCGCAGGTGTTAATTGCCATTCCAAGCGTGATTGTCACTGCTTGGCCTTGGGACTCGGTTAACTGATCGAAACAGTCCATAATTTATTGGGTAATAGAGGGGGAAAAATGCTTGGCACTTGTCTCAAAACTTTTTCCAGCTTGACAAATTGATCTTACATCACCCAAGCTAATTTTCTGTCATCTGATTTGAACGGCGTGTTGGTATGCCAGTGTCGGATGAAGGATGTATGGAGGTTCTTCTTGTCAAGGCAAAGTCTGCTATCGCGGTTACCCGCCCAGTGACAGGCACGACAAGCAAGTGTTTAACCTGACTGACCTAGTGGCGGGAATTTTGTGCATTGCCACTGACAAGAACTCATAATATCAGATATACTTATGATGCGTTTTTTGCGCTTCTTGAATGTTAGAAACTATAAAATATGAGAGCAGCAATCAGTTAGTCCATGATTTACTTTTCAAACAATATTTCAGGTGGAATATTATAAAAAAAAATATATTTTTTTCCTTCATGTCATCAAAGAACTACTTACAAGGCCATCCAGAATGTTATAATATGTTGGGAAATGTTACATTAATTTGCACACAGGCGAGTTTCATCACACTTCACACATAAAATCGCGACGTGACACGACACACATCCACCTCTCACCACTGCACGAATAACACTACTGACTGGAAGGTTTAAGGCGAGCGTTCACTCGCTATCAGCGGTTGCCCATTACTCTTATTTTCTGTATCTGGTAAGCGATGCATGTAAATACATATATACACTGTACTGCAACATTTTTAGTTTACTTAATATATGATAATTCATTGTATCAGAGGACAGACAGCCAGAGTGCATATATACATATCAATTTAAGCTTGTATCGAGTTCGGGTAAGGGGGGAAGGTGGGTATCATGCTCCCAATATGCACTCCTGTGAGGGGTAGTGAACCACATTCTCATTTCGTCGGTGGACCCGATATCTCTCGTGTGAGGTAGTTGACCCCATACCCATCCTGCAAGTGATAGTGGACCCTCATACCCATTCTGAGTGTGGTAATGGAACAAGTTGAAGCATATAACTTGTTGAAGCATTTTTTATATAGAAACTATATATATATATATGTGTGTATATATATATATATATATATATATATATATATATATATATATATATATATATATATATATATATATATATATATATATATAATATACACAATGCAACCTGTGATTCAACTGAATCTACTAGGGGGTCCGGAAGCATCCAATGAACCCCAACCAGGGGTTTCATGCATTGCCTCCATGCACTCTGGCTGTGGTCTGGGGGTTCTACCTCAAATGCTGTTCTTCAAATGCACAATGAAATCCCATTAACGTCATGTATCAATGAGAAAATCAGTAGGAGCTATTGTACATGATGTTTATATGATTTCATTGAGCATTTGAAGAGCAGCGATAGAGGTAGAACTGGACCACAACCAGAGTGCACAGCCAGATTTGCATATACTGTATTAGCTTCTCCCCACATAACAAGTTTATTCCATCTCTATTTCCGAGTTGAATGCTCTAAGGCCCTTAACCTACTTAAGGTTTTTTCCCATACTTCTTGGGGAGCGGATAGGTATGATAGGAGCGGATAGATATGCTTCTCCTTCTACTCTTCGCCGTCTTGATGCTTTGCACCATACTGGGTTGCGTCTCAGCTCTGGTGCCATTCGTTCGACTCCCGCCCTCAGTTTGTATGTTGACACTGGCTTCCTCTCTCTCCAGGACCGCCGTGATCGCTACTGTCTTCGCTATCTTGCACGGTCCTTACAACATCCTTCCTCTCGCCTCTGTCGTGCATTGACTTTTCCTCCTGTGGTTCCTGTTCCTCTTCATCGCCTCCCTCTTTCTGTCCGGTTGTCTCGCTTACAGGATTCTCTTTCTGTTCATATTTCTAATGTTTCTCCTCGTATTGTTCCTTGCCTCCGTGGAGAGTCTCCCTTCCAAAGTTTTGTACGTCCTTGACTCGCGTCACTAAAGCTTTTACCCTCCTACGGTTCTAAAACGCCTTTTCCTTGAGCACTTTTCTTCGCACTCCCACTCTATTTCCGTTTTCACCGATGGGTCGAAGTCTGCGGACGGTGTGGGCTACTCTGTTGTTTTTCCTGACCGCACTTATATGTGTCGCCTCCCTTCGGAGGCTAGCGTCTTCACAGCAGAACTTTATGCTATTCTCTATGCTCCCCGTCTCTTGCTTTCTCATTGTCATTCCTCCTTTGTCGTTCTAGTTGACTCTCGTAGTGCCCTCATGGCTCTAGGGTCCTTTAATCCTGTCCATCTGGTGGTCATCGAGATTCAACATTGGCTGTTTCTTATTTCTAGTAAATTTAAATCAGTAGATTTTCCCAGGGACGTTACACTCACGGGGACCAAGCAGGGGGCACCACCATGTATCAGGGTGAGGCCAAACACCAGTGACAAATAGGGCAGAACCCCCCCCCCACCAAGGCAAAAACAAAAAGAAAAACAAAACCCCGCAGAGGAACAGAGCCGGCCGCTGTGATAAGTACAATACAATACAATACAATACAATACAATACAATTTTATTTAGGTAAGGTACATACATACAATAAATATTTACAAGGATTGTTTAACTTATAGGTATAGCTAGTACATACAATGCCTAAAGCCACTATTACGCAAAGCGTTTCGGGCAAGTGACAACTAGCTGCCCAGTACCCTGCGCCCTTACCAGTGCGAAAACTGCCTCTTACCCTAAGGTTACCTAGGGGAGACAAAACCCCCAAGTACCCAAAGAGCAGCCGAGAAACTGAGCAGTAAAACGGACACACAGAGGCAGACCCCGAGGAACTTGTGGAAGGTAACCCCAAGCTCCAAGGGCAGCACTTACAAGGCACCTAGGGAAGGGAACCCTAGGCGCATGCAGCCCGAGTACTGAGGAATAACTCCTGGCTCTCGCACCCCTGGAGTACAGCAGCCACACACAAGGCACAGTGCCGCACAAAAACACTGGAGGCAGAGCACACAACCCAGCCGATAGCATCAGCCTAAAGAACTGGGGTTACTTGGGGTGTGGATCGTAGGTCTGGGGCTGACCCTCCCCCCTCCCTGGGGGGGGGGGGGGGCTGCGCAGACAGCGGCGCAACGACGGGTGACGTCATACTAGTTTGCTCGTTTTTGTTTGGGAAGTTCTATCCACTCGTTCGGCTTTTGGTTGCAATTTTCACCAGAATAGGGGTTTGTTTTGGGACGCCTACCTTTCTAGATGCCTAACCAGATCTATGGTAGACATATAATGCTCCCAATTACACGGGGGTTTCTATAGGCCATTGCTCCCCTTGCCTCTCTAGAGGGGGGCCAGGTTCGGGCTCGTGGTCCCCGGTAGGCCCATAAAAACTCCATACACATGACTGATGCCAAAGTCTGACATTAGCATATCAGCCTAGTAGGCTCCGGGGAGCCGTAGGGGCTCCCCCCCCCCCAGAAAAAAACACATTCCTGTACCTTCATTTGGAGCTGAAGATGTGCATGAACGTTTCAAAATATTCTAGTTAAATCCAGGGATGAGGGGGAAGCGTCATGGCGTCTGGTGGAGGTTCGTGCAGCGTCTCTCCTGCAAATATTGACGATACCTTAGAGGACACTGGGGAACCACTGTTGCATGCCACACATTTAGATCATGAACATCACCCGGTCTTAGAAGAGGATCTAGATGGAGTTTTCCTAGACAGCAAACATCACAGCAAGGCAAACAGATTGGAGGCGAAACGCCGCCAACTTACAGAGGTAAACAGAGACTATGCCGGCACCACGCGGCCTCAGTATCAACCTCCACAGCTCAACCAAGGTAGGCTAAGTTCTTCTGATTTGCAAACTTTCATCATTGCCTTTGATGGCGAAGAGGAAAATGTGTTCAGAAATAGCCGAGCACAAAGTATCTTATATAATGCCATTCCCAAGATATTCGGGATCGATGTGCACAATATGAGACCAAATAAACAGAAAAACCTGATCGCAGTGGACCACAAACATGGCGAAGAACTAAAGCTTTCAGACATTACTGACATCTGTGGCCACAAAGTCAAGTGCTACAAACCACTTGGGGACCGATTAACAAAATATGTAATCCGACATGTTGTAGACATCAGTGTAGACGACATCAAAGCACAACTTGAGACACATGACATCCCGATCCATGGAATCAAAAAATTTATGCGAAGAACAGACGGAGAACTGAGTGATACAGGCACTGCTCTGCTTACCTTTCTAGACTACATCCCCCCCTGAGAGGATTTGGTTAAATGGCTTCCTCCATAAACTAGAGGTGTATATACCACGTCTCACTCAGTGTTTTAAATGTAAAGGTTTTAACCATACCTGGAAAGGCTGCACCAAAGACATTAAATGTGGGAAATGCTCTGGTTCCCATTACACGCAAGATTGTACATCAGATACACTCACCTGCTCAAACTGTGGTGGCGACCACGACATTACATTCAAACAATGTCCCTCATACATAGCAGCAGCAGCAAAAACTAAGGTTCTCCCTACCAACAACCTGCTATACAGTAGTGCACTGAAACAACCAAACACAGCCCATCATCAAACACTACCTCACACTCAAACACAGCCTTTGCTTGTACCTGATATATCTGTCACCGACACTCCCACAACCCCAGGGTCCAACCATCCCTCACAAAATGCACAACTGAATCCTGATCTTGTTGAAACTCTTGTCACTCGCATTGAAAATGATCTTGTTGAAACTGTTGTCACGCGCATTGAAAATGATCTTGTTGAAACTGTTGTCACGCGCATTGAAAATGCACTAGAAAAGACGCTGGACCGACTGCTAACTAAATTCTTTACACAAGTAACACAACCCACTCCTGAGGCTGACCCAAAAGACATCCCATCAACAGCTACAGACACTGACATCCGCCCAAACAAAGCCACCATTGCTGGACACACATTGTTTGAACAGATGAAGGAAAAACTCATAAATAACTCCCTAGCACGCCTTACCAAAATCATTCCACAGGCTGACTTGCCACAAACCCAAACCGCCAGTACCAAGAGTAAGGCACAGCCCACATCCACATCTAGGTATCCAACACGTACTACTACTGGCATGCCAAGGAAAACAGACACATCCATAACCCACACATCCTAAATGGCTCCCCTAACATTCATGACTTGGAACGCAAAAAGCATTAAAACATCTCTCACAGAACTTAAACAATTCCTTTACTCATCCAAACCGGACTTAGCTTTCATAACCGAATCCTGGCTCACCCCTAAACAAAATCCTATTTTTAAAAACTTTCAGATGCAGAGACTGGACAGACCAAACCGTATGGGTGGTGGTATTTTCCTCCTAACACGGAGTAACATGACATGTAAACCTGTAACGCTTACACATTTTGTAAATGGTAAGCTAGAAATTTTAGCATGCCTAATACCCTACAATGGTACACACATATCCTTTCTGGGTATATACAACCCTGGTGGCACAATAAATTTAAATGAACTAGAATTCTATCTAAACCAACTACGGCAACCGATCATTGTTACAGGTGATCTCAATGCAAACCACCCCACATGGAGTAGAGGTACCCAAAATACTGCAGGCACCGATTTATATAACTACTTAGACACTACACCATATATTCTTCTTTCGCCGCCCTACCTTGCAACCTACTTTAACTACAGAACCAATTATGAAGCCTCACTGGACATCTGCTTTGGCTCTGCACACTTTCAACAAGAACTACAGTTTCATACTGGACCAGATATTGGAAGTGACCACAAACCCCTCATTATAAAATTTACTAACTTTCAGCCACCAACCCACCCCCTAACGCTCCCCAAGTGGAACATTAAGAAACTAGATAAGAAAAAATGGGCTGATACTGTCTGTCTCCCAGATACAGACGATGTAGACCCCAACACGCGACTGTCCACAATCACCTCGGCCATAAATTCTGCAGCCACCCAAATGCTCAAGAAAACTTCAGGACATAGGTCCAACAAACCACTTAAACCGTGGTGGAACGCGGAATGTGCACGAACAGTCGCTTTACGCCGACGAGCCATACAAAAACAAAGACGTCAACCCTCCCTACAGAACTGGGTTAATCTCCGGCGGGCTACAGCAGAAGCCAAAAAAACCATACTGTCAGCAAAGCGAGCATCATGGGCAAAATTTTGTGATAGCCTCACACCCACTACGCCACATTCAAAAGTCTGGGCTACATTTAACAGCATTAAAGGTCGCCCAACATTCCCTTCGTTCCCCCTGATGATCAACGGTTCACTCTGTCAAACACCTCAGGAGCGTGCAAATGTTCTTGCTGAATGTCTTAAAGTTACCCTCTCAACACCCTTTTTTCATGCCCAAGAACTCCCCCTCAGACAAGAAATTGACCGTGTCATACTGCTACCCATGCCCGGCGTCGATAACATGTACACCTTAAGCGAGCTACAATTAGCCTTAACCCACCTACCTCTTGGCAAGGCACCTGGAGAGGATGGAATTCCATATGAACTCATTAAACATCTTCCATCAACTGCACATAGTACTCTCCTAAACTATTACAACCTATGCTGGACTCACGGAAATATTCCCTCACAATGGCAGACCAGTATTATTCTTCCGTTCCTTAAACCAGGAAAAGACCCATCCCAACCTGCGTCATACAGACCTATCTCCCTACTATCATGCCTCAGTAAAGTCATGGAAAGACTAGTACATACTCGCTTTCAATGGTATCTAGAATATAATAATATTTTACCGTCACTCCAAGCTGGATTTCGACCGCAATGCTCCACACTCGATCAAATACTCTGCCTTGAACATGAAATCCGCACCTCTCTCAGAAGCAGTAAATTTTGTATTGTTCTCTACTTAGACCTCAAAGGAGCTTTTGATAGCATTCCTCATACTTGCCTCCTCGCAAAGCTTGCGCGTTTAGGCGTACAGGGAAGATTACTTTTATGGTTAAAATCCTATCTTACGAACAGGACCTCTAAAGTCTATATACAAGGCGAGTTTTCCGATGGCATCCCAATACAAACGGGTGTCCCACAAGGCTCCATACTAAGCCCAACCCTCTTTGCTGCATTCTTAGCAGATTTGCCTAACACCCATCCTGTTAACCTCTCGGCGTACGCCGACGACTTAACACTGTATTATTCAGACAACGCCTTACCTAATACAGTCTCAACAATGCAAACAGCACTTGACCACCTCATAGATTGGACACAACAATGGGGCCTTCAAGTTAGTACTACCAAAACCTATTATCAAATTTTCACTAAAAAAAGACTTGTTCATCTACCCACCCTCACAATACACAACACTCCCATCCAACACGTACGAGAACATAAATACCTTGGCATGCACTTAGACTCGCCCTCACTTACCTGGAAAGCACACATTCAACACCTTAAACAGACGACACAACCCCGACTCGCCATACTGAAAGCCCTCACTGGCACCACCTGGGGAGCACACCATAAAATCCTGCTCCGTTTCTATACAACCTACATTCGCAGCCAACTAGACTATTGTTGCCAAGCATATGCGTCGGCTGCGCCTACTAACCTACAGAGCCTAGAGGTCATCCAAAACAATGCCATGCGACTTATATGTGGCGCAATGCGTTCCACTCCTATCCTCGGACTTTACGGGGAAACGGGCCTCACAAGCCTAGCCACCAGACGAGACATAATGTGTGCCAACTATCTGTCACTCTGTACCACTGCTCACCAGACACACCCATACAGATCAAAAATTAACCCAACAGTTAACCCACATAACCCCCGCTTCCCAACCAATCACTCACAACCTTTCCTCACACGGGCTACAAATAACCTCAATATAGACCTCTCTCTACTCCAAAACTCGGAAACCCAACTTACTGTTCCCCCTATTCCACCCTGGCTTTATACAACTCCTAATACAGCAATACAACTCGAAGACAACATTCCAAAGTCTGCACCAAACTCAGCCATAGCCTCAGTCTTTCTCTCAACAATGAAAAATTGCTACCCAAATACCACAGCGATTTATACAGATGGATCTCGCATCATCAAGAACAACGTACCCTCGGTCACTAGCGCTGTATGGATACCGGAATACCATCTCAAGCAGGGATGGCGGTTACCAAACCAACTATCTGTTTTCACAGCTGAATTATATGCCTTATATCAAGCTCTCCAAATAATCACAACATTACCAGTCGGGACATATACAATCTGCAGTGACTCCAAGAGTGCGATTCAAGCAATTACGTACTCTTCAAAAACGTGCAAGGAGTTTGTTTACCCATGTCTTCAACTTCTTCATGAACATCGATTGAACGGTTATGATACCTCTATCCAATGGGTCCCAGCGCATTGTGGTATTCTCCATAATGAACTAGTAGATCAACTAGCCAAAGCAATGCACAACACACCTCACATTACCCGTCATCCAATTCCCCATGTTGCACGTAAAGGAGCCTTCAAAAATACCATCACCCAAGATTTTGCGACGAAATGGAAAACGTCATGCTCACCTTTGTACTATGGGTCCATTAAAAAGAAATGGGAAACTTGGAAACATGTCAGATATAAAAGCAGAGAAATTGATATAGCGATGACCAGATTAAGGCTGGGACACACCAAACTAGCAGCACACAGCTCTAAGTACAGAACAGACATCAACGAACTCTGCATCCACTGTCAGGTGCCTGAAACAATCGAACACTATCTCCTACATTGCTTCCGACACTATAGTGCCAGAGTAAATTTCAAACAAGAACTTATCTCACTTAAAATACCCTTTACCATCGAGCATATATTAGGAGGCGGTGACCACTCGTTACAAGAAAAATACCAAATAGTCAAAGCACTGGCTAAATATCTCCAATTGACCAACAAATTGGGTCACATCTGACCCGCGCCACATTTATACCTGGCGCCACCAACAGCTAAACACAGAAAACAACTGCCTCGTCGCAACACCAAGGATCAGCTGACGCCATAAACACAACACACCGCCCTACGGTGCGGCAAGTCTCCCTCTAACACACACCTCTGTTTTAGTCGCCGCTCCTCTGTCTACAGCACAACGCAACAAGCACTTTTGAAACTCTTATCATCTTCAACATAAACGCCTCTACCAACATCTGAACTGGTGCAGTCATCGGGAGGACAAACCCTTCATGCAAACTGCACCTACTATCAAGAAGAAGAAGAAATATCATCATTTCTTAAGAACTGCGTGAAACTTGGACTTGAGCTTGTGCTTTGCCTTGTTGGCATAATTATGTAACAACAATACTGCTCATGACTCATATGAGAAAACACGTGTGGGAATATGAACCAGTCTAGACAACTTAGTTAGATTTTTCAACAATATTTTATTGGATAGTGCCAAGTTAATCTGAGCTTATTCAAACCCTTTTATATGACCAACACCATTATTATACCACAGCTTTCAAGAGCTGTTTAGTCTTATAAAAACCCTTAAGACTAGCTAAAATCATAAAAATTTTGAATGCAAATGCTAATGCCCTTAAATAATTTTAAGATTCTCATCTATAATTAGCTTAGAAATAACATTTATACAGTATTGTAGTACTAATAGCTTGGCAAAATAATTTATCAAAATGAACTTTAAACTAAAATACAGTACAATATGTGGCAATATTTTATGAAGATATTGTTTTGTCAAATGAAGTTAACAAATAGTGTCTAAAGTTTACATCTTTACAGTACTAATATTTGTTAACCCACTATGTGCTGGCCAACACATTTAATTACTCTGACACATTAAAAGGTAACAAAGACATTAGGAATTTATTTTTGTAGTGTTTATATTTTGTCAAATCGGTTCACTCTTATAAATAGAAAGTATATTAACATCTAATACTGGAAGTTGAATTTGAAATAAGGATACACTATATGGTTACAAAATTACAATTACTTTTATCAGTGCTGGTGTGGTAAAATAAAATTATATGGCATGTCCTGTCTGTTTTCTTTCACAATTCTATAACATTCCCGAGGTAAGACCAGCCTGGAACTTCAACATGAAAAGGAGACCGACTTTGCGGACACCACAGGAAGCATAACCTTTCCTAACTCATTTGTCTTGCAAATTGGTTTTGTTTAATGGGATGGCAATCCAAAATATTACTCAATTATTGTTTTCTATTGTATCATACAATAACCGAAGGCGAGTGATCATTGTCTCAAAATGTGTTATGTTTCAACAATTATACAATATTAATGTTTAGCTATTTCCCTACACTGGATTCACATATAAAATGTTTGTTTTTGTCAGTTACGACTATTCATTAAAGGCAGAAAATAATCCTGTATTTTGTCTTAAGATCATAAGCAACCAAAATAAATAAGTGTTAAAATTAAACCCGATATATTTTGATTACAAAATATATAGTAACAATGCATTACAGCTGTGTTGGCATAGTGTGTGGTGCTTAATTTTGTCTACAATACTAGTGTCTCAATTCTACTGTACTCTCATTAATGTAAATGGCACATTTAACATCAAAGTGATACCACAAGTTGGTCCTATATTTGCCAACAAACCATTATTCCACTTCAGTAAACACACAAATTGATTGCAAAAATTATCATTTATACCAGTTATAAACAGTCTAATTTATTCAGCTAAAAAAAATATAAAAACTTGGTCAAGAGTTTATAGTTGCTTCTATTTATTCACGTCTACAAGGTCATCTGTAGGGGCAGATTATTATCAGAACTAAATTTTATACTTTACTAACCACAATAGGGCTTTATGACTATTGATACACAGGTACAGTATTACATTGTAAGAAGTAACAAAATAATAGGTTCATTTACCTGAAGGCCACCAACCCTAGTGGCCTCGACGAGGACAGAAAGCCGGTGGCTTGTCGAAGATCCCCCCATTTGCCTTGATGTGATACCTTTCCCACTAAACTATATCAAATTAAAACAAGCATAATATTTTATGAGATAAAACAAAAAATTATTACTTTTTTTATATAAATACTATATCACTTCTGTATGACATTTTGGTTGAGGCATTTCAGGACAATCCCAAGGCCATAAAAAATTCAAACCATGTAGTGTACTTGGAAAATGATGGGATAAACAGTATCGCTTAATAAACTATAGCACTCTCAATGTTGAAAATATGACCATGTTTAGAAAAGAAAATTTTCTATAATATATTGTAATTTACAGGAAAGGAAGGTTTTGATTGCTTATGATCTTTAAGTTGATGAGTTCATTTCCAGTGAACAGCATTATCTAGATTAACTAATTGGTAATGACTCCAACCTCCTTTAATTATTTGGCTGCATACATTTATATTTTACCATTTCAAAACTATATTTTAGTATATATACACTATAAAGTGATACATTTGTTAAAATATTAAAATAATCAATTTAGCTCAAATATTCCTCTAAATACTTCCTGTATGGTGTGCAAGTATCCTACCAATACCAATGCAACACTAGGGTTATGGCAGCACAGCAAACATGTTTGCAACATTTGCTCAAACCATTAGAATGCAAAAATATTGGTGAAAATCTTGGTTGTTTCTACAGTACTTTCCATATCTTTACCCTCTTGTAGTGCAATGTGCACAACATAATGTACTTGAGCTTGATTCCTGACCAGGGTGAGACATTCAGGCACGTTTCCTTATACCTAATGGCTCTGTTCACCTAGCAGTAAACAGGTACTTGTGAGTCATGCAACTGTTGTGGGTTGTGTACTGGTAAAGGTCAGTCACTGGCATGGTGGGACCTTGATATGTCTAGCAGACATCCCGTCCCTGACTATGGGAAACCCTATCTTGTAACCATCTACGTTACACTGTCGTAATATCTGGAATGTTTAATAATTTGTCAAACTTATAAATGTTAAAAATGATAAGTAAAAGGAAAAAACTATATTGTCAAAAAAGAAACTTTACCAAAATGTTCTTAATTAGGTCCCGGTTGATTACAGTAATTCCCTATCACAAACATGATGACGAGATACACACAATTATTGTTCATTTGTTCCTGCATGTAAATATGAAAATAACTGTCTTCAATAAAGTACAGCATGGATGGGTGAGTTATAAATGCTCAGGGAATATATTGAGACATATAGTACAGCATATGTATGCTGTGCAAATGAATGCAGACACTCCACCCAAGACACTATGGAATTCTCTAAGTAACAAACTTGGTTTCCAACATTAAATATTGGCTAATTACTACAGTAGATTAAAACCAGTTGATGCAAACTAAATTAAAGTCACTACTTCAACTAATCATCACAAACATTGTACAAGTTATGAAGAAAGCAGTTTTCGTCATCACTATCACACTAAAGGTACATGTAAAAATAAAAATCATCTGATGCATGATGCACTTGAATGTGTTTTTAATCTGATCACCTTTTAATTAAATATAAGGGATCTCAAGACTACCTTGACCATAATTACAGTACATTCTACTGATCTATGATTGAAAGCAGTTTTTGTTAGTGAGTAGAACTACAGGATAAGAGAAAGAATTAGTCACCAGACATATTGCAGTCAGTGGAAGATGAAACACATGTGAGAATAATGTTATAAGAAAACTAACATCCCAGTTAATGAGAAGCAAGCACAATCACCAACAGTTATTTAATGAGTGGTTTGTTCTTTTTCAAGAGGAATCTATGTACAATATTTCTTAAACTACAGTATCTTTATACTGCTTAACAGATTAAAGCTTCTATATACTGTAATACAAATCTACTCCCTTTAAGCCTTTAAGAAATCCTATATATATGACACAATGTAAAATTTTCCAAGTTAATTTTATTATAATATATGCTTAAAAAACTAGAAAGCAACCACTTCCCCTTTTAAAACACTACTATATATATATTATACCTAGGAGAAGAATAGAGAAATAAATAACGTGTAACTGCCACTTGACTATAAACAACCAGCCTTCATTGTGTTTCCATGGTCTTGAGCCTTAATACAGGAGTTGACTGCATTCAGTCGTCTATATGGACTACTGAAGGCATATGTCACACACACTGTTTCACTGTAATGTTTTAATAATTACCAGGAGGAGAAACACATGACACTGAATGTTGGCTCTACTTGAAGGGTATTCCATCAATGTTATGTTGTTGCTGTTGGCTTCAATGATGCCTGGTTTGACTTTATTGATGCCTGAGTTGGCTTTGACACACTATGTAAATATTTGTCTTGCATTACAAGGTTGAAGTTTACCCTTATACACCACAAAAGTTAGAAAACTTGCTTAGTTTAGCAAGTGAAATATAGTTGTGAAATATATTCCTACATAAGAAATCAGCATTACAAAAGTATTTATGATTAACGTGAACATAGCTACAGTACTCTTCTTTCAACTCGCAGAAGAATTTACTTAAGTGACTAGCAGTTATGCTTAGATTTTTGTGCAATATTATAAAATGGTCCCCTTAAAAATAAAATGGTACTAAAGTTAGAAAAATTAAATATTGGATTTCCGAACAGGATCACTAATATAGTGTGATTAAAAACAAAAATCTTATTTGCTTTAATCCTATTTTCCTTTTAAAATTTTTTAAAAAATTCTGGGCGTCCTGACATAAAATAATCACATATAAAAATGTACACTCAATTTAAACCTACAAACACTAAAAACTACAGTAATCAAAACAATCTACAGCTTTCCTAAGTATTCACATAAGTTACATTTTTCTCGAAAGTAAAAACATCAATGAAATTCAGGCCTTCTGAGATTTCGGATGTTATTATCGAGGTTATTTTCGTAATAATTTCCTTGGTTGCCAAGGTCTTCTCCCATATTCATATCTTGATGAGTATCCTCTTGAGGGAGGAATGGATGAGGAACCTCAAGAGCTCCCACCATGTTGTTTCCATTCCTTTGAAAGTCTTTTTTACCGTCTTGACCTTGATCCTCGTCCATATTGCCATTGTTGTGCTTGATATCATTGCCTTCCTCATCTTGGTCATCCAATAGGTCCTCAACAATTTTCTCCTCTTCATCTATAGCTGCGTCCAAATTGTCTGTTGGATAAGAAAGACACTAGAAATAAATACAAGAAATTGTAAACTACCCACAGGAAGAGAGAGAGATTTACCGGGTTCAGTCAATGAACAATACTGTGCTATGACAAAGACTCTAAGACAGAATATACAGCACTACACTGTGAATATATGGATCTTGCATGACCTTCATTACTGTTGCATTAATTGAATGAAGAAGACAGCTGTTCTGTATTGTCAGAATGATTAACAATTAAAATTTGGTTGACAAATAAATGTTTCAATTTAAAAAAAAATCTTCATTTCTGTCATATCAAAAGTAAATAATAATAATTTGTCTTATAACTTAATTTTAGTTTATCAGTTGCAAGTCTATATACTGTTTCACTGAGGATAACACTGCGAAATCAAGTTATGAAACATTCACGTACACATATATATTAACTGCTGGAGCAATTCATAAATCATTATTACAAGCATATTCCCCACATAGGCCTACACTACTGTTAGTTTTCCATTGTAATTTACACATTGGCAAGAAAGAGAACACCCTTCACCATGGAAGCAAAAGACTTGGTCAGTAGGCCTACTGAAGGGTCATAACTTTGCATCAGGAGGTATGCGGTCATGAAATATAAGGCTCTAAATTCGTGTATATTTGAATACAGTAATAATAGATCTGATAATGTTTATAAATAACATTACATGGCTTGACTTGAAATATAATACTTTATGACTATCTTATAAAAATATACAGTATGTATGCAGAGAGAAATGCTTTAACATAGACCTACATGAATGGCCTATCCAAAAGCAACAAAATATATATAATGCAGAGATTTATAGAGTAATAGAAGGTATTCATAACGAATAATGGAAAGGGTGTTTGAAAATTATTTATTGTTTTGCTACAAATCAAAAAGTCAACTACATATCTTTAAATCTAAACCATTATCAATGAATTAGTCAATGAAGTAATATCACAATCTACTTCAGTCACAAAAGCATGGTGGCACAAGCAGAATATTCCATAAATATTACCCTTGCTAAATATAATATCTATAGCACTGACTGTTTCCCCCTCCCCCAACTGCCCACAACAATGGGCACTGAGCCTGCACTCTGTCTACCCATACTATTTAAAGTATTTACACTCCTTTACAAACAAAACTATTTATTAACTTTAAAAAAAAAAAAAATTACAAGTTACGTAGTACACTTGGTTTCATTCTCAACTCTCAGTCGGGGATCCTGGGTTTGATTTGTGGATGGGACAGAAATGGTTGGGCATGTTTCCTCTCCCCTAATGCACCTGTTTACCTAGCAATAAGTAAGTCTCCAGGAGTTAGGCAACTGCTGTGGGGTTGCATTCTAGGGAAGGTCACTAGTTCTATCTAGGGAGGTACTATACAAACCTAAAATATATATATATATATATATACACAGGCTTCCTGTTCCTGACAGTGGGATTATATTCTCAAAATACTTCATAAAGTCATATAATAAAGATGTGAAAAAGTACCTTTGATTGACATTTAAGAGGGACCAAAGAGCCAAAGCTCAACCTCTGTAAGTACAACTAGGTGAGTACACATACATACTCTTAGGTAATTACACATACTGTACTGTATACACAAGGTTAAAGGCATTAAATATGCCAAAACTAGAAGACAGAAGAAAAAGAGGTGATATGATCACTACATAAAAAATGGTAATGGGAATAGATAAAATTTATAGGGAAGAATTCCCCGAGACCTGGAATTTCAAGAACAAGAGGGCATAGATTTAAACTAACTAAACAAAGCTGCCGAAGAAATATAAGAAAATTCACTTTCACAAACAAAGTGGTAAACTGTTGGAACAAGTTAGATGAGAAGGTGGTTTAAGCCCAAACCATCAGTAGTTTCAAAGCATTATATGATAAAAAAAGAGTGCTTGGAAGACGGGACACCACGAGTGTAGCTCTCATCCTGTAACTACACTTAGGTAATTACATACATTAGGGGCCTCGTGACCAAGTGGACAGCGCTCAGGGGTTGTAGTCCTAATTTGATTTGATAATTTGATTCCTGGCCGAGGCAGAAACAAATGGGCAGTTTCTTTCACCTGATGAGTCTGTTTACCTAGCAGTAAATAGATACCTGGGACTTAGTCAGCTGCTTCCTGGGATGTGTGGGTATTAAGAGAGAAATATATGTAGTAGACATTATAGAGGAAAAATAGATTAGTTAGATTAGTTAAAAAGACAGGATCCAAGAGCAAATAGCTCAATTCTGCAGGCACAAATATTAAATACAAATGATATAGCTAAATATTGGATGGGGTCTCCACATTCCCCCCCCCCCTTCCCTGACCCCCAAAAAATGGATAAATAATTCACACACATTAGGCTTATATCGACCCCCCCCCCCCGAACCAAGGTCGAATTACTGACCCTGCCCAGGATGCAACCCCACAACAAACTGACTAACTCCTGAACTCCTGAATACCTACTTACTGCTAGGAGAACAGGGCTTTAGGTGATAGGAAATGCCTCCAACCACTTCTGTTCCACATGGGATTCGGAACCGTTATTCTCGATTGAACGAACCCGACTGTACTACTGGGATCCCTCAATGAAGCATGGGAACTGTGCCAACCAACCCTAGGGCAAAAAATCTGGTTACAAGAGACACACACACACACAGCATACTCTCATTGAACCCCACTCTTAGTACAATGGAGAAGGGCCAGGATAGCCACAGACTAAACAAAACCAAAACTAGTTTTCCTACATTTCTCAAGTTAACACCCAGTTAACAATGTCAGGGAAACAAAATCATCCTAACTAGAAACCAAAACTAGTTTTCCCACATTTCTCAAGTAAACACCCAGTTAACAATATCAGGGGAAACAAAATCATCCCAACTAGACTACATGCATGAGCCATAGAAGTGCATGAACAAACTTAGCTCTAAAGCCTTGGTCTGTTGAGTCCCAAAGGTAATGCCATGATAATGATCCAAATCAAGTCATTATCTATGGTCACTGCAATCAGTGCCAGGAAAAAGAACCTGGAACAAAGCTGAAGCAAACTGCAAAGTTTAGAGACTTGAAAAATGGCTGGGCACCATACTGTGTAGCAAATACTAAGACATGAAACCCTTTGCACAAAAACTCTTGGTGAATAACCTGGCACCTTGACTGAATTGGTTTTTGCACAGCATTTTCTGCACAAAGTGATGAGGAGCACTTCACCTGCCTTAGTTGTACTAGCTACTGCTGTCACTTGCTACCAGTTTCTTTACGGGCTCACCATAGCCCGTGCTACATGGACACTTCGTCCTGAGTAGCTAAATCTGAAACAACAACAACATGCTACCAGTTGTTTTAGATGATAGTTGCAAGTTACATAGTTTCAGAATTATTATTGGCTATCTTCGGAGGTCCCAGTGATCGTTCAGAGAGGGTGTTTAATGGTTTGATGTGTTCTTTTTGTCATAGAGAGCAGTGATTAAGATGTGGTCTCTGTTGTTCTCAAAACTTCACAACATTAGTCAGGAACTAATAAACTGTACTAGCAATAATCTAAGTGGGGAAGGGAACTATCAGGAGAAAGCACAATCCATTACGACTATATAGCACTTAGAGGTAATCAGGATAAGAATTTAGGATGTGACAGGGAAAAGGAATGGTGTCTAACAGCTTGGACGGTCAGGGATTGAACTCCGACCTGCATGAAGCGAGACTGCCGCTCTACTGTCCTGCCCAAGTGGAAGTACAGTATGGGTATTATGGAGTAACAGGGTGGGGGTGAACAAGGAAGAGAAAAGGAAAAATGTGGAACAAGTAAAGAAAAGAGCCAAGAATGGAAAGGGAAGGATATGAAGAAAAAGAAGAGATCAGAAGTTAATAAATAAAAGGGAGAGAGTGTTAGTGGAATGGAGGGATTGTGGTTCAGAGAAGCAATCATGGGGATCTTGCTCAGAGAAACTTATCAATGAAATACATACATAAAAAAAAATAGAAAACAATAGTTAATGGAAAGGTAGTGTGGAAGTTAGTAAAACATTGCAAAACTGTCAAGTGAGGCTCAAATATGCTTGTAGGCAAAGAATCATACAAAGGAGAATACAGATACTCAGTGATAATAATTTTGTTAAGCTACATTCACATTGTAGATCAACATAATATTCAGCTAGAATAGAACGTATGGAAAGAAAAGTGAGAAACATATTTTGTGACTGATACAGAAGCCGGGAATCTGTATTAGCAGCATACTAACAAAAGTTGAGATTCAAGATGAAGACAGGACTGCAACAACTTTCAAAGAAATAACGATAGTACTAGACTACAAATAGTTATGAGGACCTTTAAAAATTGCCTGTTTTAAGCAGTAATTACATGGAAGACACCCTTTAGTACAGTATGTGTAATATTCTTGCATATACTGTACATTCAGTATAAAGTAGTATGAAAAATAGCAAATTAAAAAACTTTTTTTTATTGTCAAGTACAGTGTTTTATGGAGAGCATTTATATTGTTAGAGTATTCAACATCCTTCAAAACTACACAAATTTGAGCATCTTAAAGCATGGGTGAGTGGCAAAACTAAATTATATATGAGCAAAATACTTAAGTCCTAAAGAAAAGGGGGGGCCTCATGTCAAAAGATCTCAAAATATAATGTCAAAATACACAAATATTTGGATTAGTAATAATAAAACACAACATACCTCTCATTTTCTTCAGGACATAAATTATACCCATAATTATACCAATACTATGCCCTATAGTTCTACTATGGTCATAACAATACCCTACAGATTTACAAAGATTACAAAAATATCCTGTAATTCTGTCAATGACAATATTAAGCAACAGAAGCTGAACTGAGAAAGGAAAGTCCTGAAAAAGAAATTGAGCAACTCTGAATATATGGGGAGGCGGTCAAAGAGCTTTGCAAACAGGTATATAATACTGATTCTGGAAGTCTTATCGAAGTCTTCCGACTTGTTTATGACGATGTCATGGTAGCCTG